AAAAAAATTTTTTTTTCTACGGCAACTTGAAATTTGATTATTTTTCTTTAATTACGACTGAAAACGAGAAAAATCAGCGTATTTAAGTCCTTAAAATCATAACGATTGCTTAAGTACCCCATTTTGCCCCCCCCTCCCCTAAGTTTTATAATAAAATGGTATTTTCGCTATTCATCTGAAACTATCTAGTTCTGGACATTGAAACTAGCATTTTTAATGCAACATATGAAAAATATAATGTGTGACGCGGGATGAAATACGATTTCAGATCAAGTGATACCAGGCTACTTCACTCTGGTCTGAAATCGTTTAGTTTCATCCCTAGTCACACAATATACTATTCGAAGCGATTTAGCAAAGAAATATCATTAAAATACTGAAAAAAACTACTTGATTCAAAAGAAATATTCTTGATCTACGAAAATTATTTTAAGAGAACTTAATGTCTTGATTCGAAAATTTTTTGTCTTGAAACTCGTTTTTTTTAGCTCAAGAAATTCTACAACTTCGATCAAGAGAATTTCGATCAACTAAAAATAATTTCATTTTGTTCTAAGAATTTTATATTCTTGGTCTAAAAAAAAGTTTCTTAAGAAACCGAAAAATACTGTAAGAAAATCTGAAAAACGGTTAACCCTGTAGGCCGTCCCTGGAACTTCCGGTTATATTCAAATTCAAAGCATTAATAGTATATTACATATCTAGGCCAGTAAAATAAGAAAAGTCTCAGATCACATGTAATTGTTGGCCGAGGCGAAGCCGAGGTTGACAAACATGTGATCTGAGGCTTTACTTTTTACTGGCCAAGGTGTGTATACTATTTTTCTGCTCGACGTAGCCGGAATGTGGCAACTTTGTTTAGCGCAGCGGCCAGAAAGTTGCCACTTTCCGGCCGGAGGGCAGAAAAAAAAATTTTCTACTCCAAAATTTTGAGCTGGCAGACTTAAAAATACAATTTTCATACATCTTTAAGCTCGTCGAGCTGAAAAATCTAGCCATTGTTGAAAACACGTTTATTAGAAAATTTTGAATTGCAATATCTCTCGAACAAATCAACCAATTTTAATGAGGTCTTCGGAGGTCGACGTTGTTTTTAAGGTTCAAAAGCTAAAAGTTTTCAATCAATTAAATTATAGGAGCGATCGGCAAAAAAGTTATTCCAAAAAAATATAGGCTATTTTATGTTTGAAAACAATAAAGTATTTCGTTTAAGACTGGAATTTATAGTTTTGATTCGCGATTGAATTACTTGAATTAAGAGAACTGAATATATAAATTAAATTTTAAATTTTAAATTAAAATAACTCTGAGAACTGAATATCTCGAAACAAAAGCAAAATTTCGAAGAGAATTTCCTCGAATCAAGTAGTTGTATTCCGTGTAGATATATATTGTGCGACAAATTAGAAAATTTAGGGCTTCCAGATTCATATTTCGCGAGATTCGGTTATAATATTGCACGCGTTCAACTGATATAAATGCTTCACTATTAACTAGTCTCCAGGGAATCCATCAAAGATCCAATAATTAATTATTATCTCTAGTTGCAACGGGAAGCCTAGGTCTGGACTGTATGCTAGTATAATGCTGTTGTATGGAGCTTGACGGAAATTATATGAGCATATTTACTGTAATTGTGAACTCATGAATTGTGAAGCTATGTAACGGTCAACATTACTGTATATTATATATGGCGTCCTAAGCAACTATAATAACTGAAATCAGATTGGATTTTAACATGATGACCATAAGAATTCTGTGAAATTCATGAAATTTATATGAAAATTAATTTTTAATGCTGATTATGTAAATAGAGTAAAATATGAAAGCATAAAAAGCAATTTTGATAAATTTGTAAATATTCTGCAGTAGAATAGCGATGCAAATCAAGAACGAATTGATGGATGAGTATCGAAAATTGCTTGATAATGAAATTTTTTTTTCATTGACAAAAATAAAAAAAAAAAACTGATGTAATATTTTTCTTATTAGCGATGTGATCTTTTAATGATATTATTTTTTGATAGATAACGATTTAGTGTATTATTACAAATGTAACATCAATAAACACTGACTCACGATTTTTTATCATTTGTTTATTAATTTAATTTATTGAAAGAAGTTGAGAGATATGAATAAAAATTGTTCACACTTTTTTTAAGCAAATACTAATTTTGCGTTATCTAATCAGAATTAGAGATTTGAATATTCTTCTATATCATAAATTTCTACGTTGAATAAATTAAAAAAAAAACTGTAATGGCGCTTAACCTTGATAAAAGTTTTTTTAAATTAGTATAATTGCGGTTTGTTTATTAGTATTGAAATATTTTTTCCTAACATCAAACGAAGGATGTATAATATTGTTTATATTTATCATTAATTTTTAAATATTATCATTACATCATTAGCTTTATGTAAGCCTTAATTTACGGTTGAAAATATCACTGCGGATTATTATTTTAATAATTACAACAATATTAAATCATTTTTTCCATATGCTTGAATAAAATTTGTAAAATTGAAAATTAATAAATAATATAAATGATTTTAATTGGATGAGTCAGAAAATTGATATCATCCATGAAAAACGATTACCAATTAAAAATGTACGCGTTAAACATAATTATTTTTGTATATAAATTTAATATAAAATCATACTTGCAGTCAAAAGTAAATTAGCTCAATTTGATTATATTTAATTTATTGCAATGATAATTAAATTTATAATTTTGCCACTTTTGAGAATTTTTTTAAAGCCAATTAAATTTAACTCGTGCGTCAATTATTGTAACAAAAAATTTAAAATCAATAAATCCTGCAGGCTATAATTAATTAAAATTTTAGATTAAAAAAAAACGCTCAACTGAAATGTTGTAATTTTTGTAAGCGGTGTTTTTAATAATAAACAATTCAATTGACATTATTTCGACTTACAATAAAATAAATTGCTTACTTTGATGCTGAAAATGCTAGTGTGTAATTTATATATCATCGATAACAAATTCTTACGTAAGTGTTAAGTCTCGTGAGAGGTTTTTTTTTATCAATTAAAATTAATAAGTTTGAATCCACAGTCAACATCAACAATGATGAATATTTTCTTAACCTACCATCAAAAGACTGATTTGAATATTCGCAGTACGGTACTTATTAAGAATAAATTTATAAATCAATTTTCATTAAATAAGTAATTATTGTTAGAATAATTATAAAGTCGATAATTTTATTTATCGAAAATAATCGCGCAATTTATTGCACAATGTATACAGAAGACCTTGAAACCTGCCGCTTCATGATGACTCGGTGAAGCGAGATGCCAATTATGATAATTATCTTTTTATTCGTTTGCCGCTACTTGGTAGGAAATAAGCCAATTATTTGTTGAACTGAATCGAGTATAAGTGGAATGCAAGTGAATTTATTCATCAGTATCTCGAAAATCGTTTGTGAGAATGGATCGTTGGGCCGGAAAGTCCGCGATTGTCACTGGAGTCACCTCCGGAATCGGAGAAGTTATCACAGAAAAATTAGTTTGCGCGGGTGTTAATGTTCTAGGACTAGCGCGTCGCGAAGACAGACTTCAGGCACTGGCTCAGCGCTTCAAAAGTGCTAAAGGAAAATTCTGTTATCTTAAATGCGACCTTCGCAATGAGCAAGACATACTTAAAGCTTTTGCTTGGGTGGAGAAAAATTTTGGGTGTCTTGATATTTTGATTAACAACGCTGGAGTTCTTTTTTTGAATAGTTTCGAAGGTACACTGAAAAAAATAATTTTTTGTGCCAAGAAAATTTGACTTGGTTCATGAAAATTTTTTTTTTTTGGTTTTTTTAATATGTTCTTGAGTCAAAAATTTTTTTTTCTGTGCATGGTCTTAGAATTTTTTTTCTACCATCATCAATTATTAATTGTTTTATTTTATTTAAACCAAAATTTCTTAGATGCAAAAACAGACGAATATCATATACTTATGGACCTAAATGTCATCGCTCCAGCTATCTGCATACGAGAAGCTTTAAAGCTAATGCGCAAGCACAAAAACGAAGGCCACATTATTAACATCAACAGGTAATATTAATTTATTTTTAATTATTGCAATTATTATTGGTTTTAAAAATAAAATTATTTTATTAATAATATTAATTATGTATTGTAGTATCGCCGGTCACCAAGCAGTGATAGGAAATATGCCAGTTAATTTGTATCCTGCTAGTAAATTCGCTCTACGTGCAATGACCGAAACATTGAAAGGAGAGATAAAAGCAAAGAACGATAAAATTCGGATTACTGTAAGTTACGATGTTCTTTTTTTTTCAATAATAATTCATAAAACATTTTTTTTTTTTTTTTTTTTTTTTTTTTTTTTTTTTTAAAAAAGAAAATACAGCTCCCTGTTTTTTCTTCTACATTATTGTAAGAAAATTAATTTAATTCAAGAGAAAAAAAAAAGTTTGGAAAATCCAAAAGTGCACGACTCATAATGCTCATTTAATTATAAAATATTGAAAAAAAAAAAAAAAAACATAATAAGTCGTTCAAAATTAGTTGCCGAAAAAACAGCTGTACTAGGAAGATACTGCACAAGCGCCTCTGGTGGAATAAATGTACATAATATCTATAGATATAGATATATCACCATCCATGTTATTTTACATGGATATATGTAGGTATACAGTCTTGTAGTTTTCGTTTTTTATTAATTGTAATTAAACGACACTGAATTAATTAGCCATTCGCATTTGGCGACTTACAATTGTCGATTAGAATTTTAAAAAAAAAAAATTTAACTCAAATAATTGATTTTTTCACAAGTTACAGTGTTTCCGGAGTTTCATACATGACGGACAGGAAAATTTTTTGACCTATTTTGATATTTTTTTCCGTTTCTATTGCACTAAATTAATTTTTAGCAAATATGGAATTAATCTCCATTAAATTATCTCGACAATAGTATGCAAAATATCTTGATTTCGTGAACTAACAAGGCTATAATACTAAAAATAGTTGCCAAAATGGGGCGAAAAAAATTTTTCGATCGTAAAGCACTCTCTGATGCTTCGCATCATGAGTCGTGCAATATTGAACCAAGACAATTATTTTGAAGAGTTTCATTGTCTTGATTAAAGACGAAAAATTTTTAATCAAGAAAATTTACCCAAATTTTTTCTCTCGAAACAAGTTAATTTTTTTTTCAGTGTACGCTAATTAATTCAATAAATTTATTATTATTTATTGTTAATTAGAAAGTTATTTTGAAAATACATTTTCAGAAAAAAGAGAAAAAAAAATTAAGCCTACAAAAATGAACATAAATAATATAATGCAAAGTACAATGAGCCTCATTAAAAAAATGTTCATTATCAATGACTACCGCATAATAAAAATTAATTGGTAGTTATTTATTGAAAAGTTAATAAATAAAAGTACCTTTAGAAAATGGTGCCAAAAGAACAAGATTAACAAGAGCTGCTCCGGTGTCATGACCCATTAATGTCACACGTGTTGGATCACCTCCAAATGCTCCAATGTTATCTCTCACCCATTGAAGACCTCTGACAATGTCCTTCAACGCCAAGTTGCCGTTCAATGAACCATTTGCATCGGGTGTTACTCGCGTCCTCAGAAAACCTGTGTTATTCGTTTGTTTTGTTATTCGAACTCTTAAATGATTTTATTCAGTAAAACATAGACGATAAAACTTTATTGCGTCTTTTATCATTATAAAGTCTACTTTTTTTTTTTTTTTTTTTTAATTAAAATAAATAAAGCTGTTTACGGTCTCGGAAATTTTATTGAGTGTGCTTGAATGTCCGTTAATTGACTGAGAATCAATATTTTATTCACAACTTTTTAAGTAGAGTTGTATAATTTTAGTTAAAAAATTACGACGAACTTCCCGAGGAATAATAGATCATTGATTTCAGAGTTTAGCGACTTGTTTTATTAAGTTTGATGGAATTATAGTAAGTAATTCGCAAAGTATAAAAATTATTTATTAATTATCCCTCAGGAAGTTTGTCGTAATTTTTATTATAAGACAATTCGAATTTGATTGAACAAAAAATTTTTATTCCAATCCGAAACTTAAAATAGATAGACGAATTTTTTTTTTCTTTAATTTTATAATTATTTTTGTTAATTCTTAAATAAACCAACTAATAAATTTAAAATTTGATTAAGATATCAATTTTAATTATTTTATTGATTATATGTAAATTTTTAAAAGTTGCGGTTCTCTTGAGGGAAATTAATTAAAGTTAGATGTATTAAGCTTGCCTAATATTCCAAGTCGATAATTGAGTGTAACGACTATAACATGGCCTGCACTTGCAAGCACTGAACCATCGTACATTTTACCGGATCCCCATTCAAAACTTTCACCGTGAATGTAAACAATAACAGCATAAGGCGCCTCTATTCCTCTTGATCCTAAACAAACATTTCCAGGAAAATCATATTATTTTATTTATACTAGTAATAAATGTCAGATGTCATATATTATAAAAATAGTAAATATATAAAAACAATTAACTATAGATAAAAAAAATTTAACAGTAAATAACTTTGAGCAATTAAATAAAAAAGTTTATTATTGTTCGAGTTGGTCGAATTTAAAAAATTTTTCAAACTCCACGTGAGTGGATAGGATGAAGCTACACTCTTACAAAGAAGCAGTTTTATATCGCTTCAGAAGTTTCCTCGTTATTTATAGAGATTCTCCAGAGAGAGTTCCGGAACAAGTCAACTCGACGACCGCCTTCGGTTAATTAATCGTGGCCCTGTGACTTTTAGGTGCTAGAATTTGCTACTACCTCCTTTAATATTTAACAGTTTCTTTACGGTACGTAATTACGTTTGATAACTATATTCATAATTAATAAACTTGTTTGAAAATAAATTTTAAAATTTTTCTTATTCTTTTACTTTACTTAAAGAAGGGTTTTTTTTTCTTAATTTAAATTATACGCTCTATTGTAATTACAGAAAGTTTATGTAACAATCCAAAAATTAGTTTTACCAAGTTAATGAAAAATTATGTATATTAAAAAAAATTCAAAGTCTCGCAGATATTTAATACTTTAATAGCTCTGGAATTGTTTCACTATTGTAATTTGTCACTCAAGGTCGTCATTATATTACACAAGTTATTTTAATTAATAGTTACTCGAACCTGAATAAAATAAATTTCTTTATTCAGTGTTTACTTGATTGAATTTTTTTTAATTGAAAAATTAAAAAATACATGCAATTGTTAAATTGTATCATGAGTTTTTTATTAATTGAATTTTCAATATAAAATCATTCAATTTAGCAATGGATTTTAAATTATAGTCGATTGTCGGAACCCTCCAATTATTGACATGGTCAATAAAACCAACTGGTATAATTAATAGCTTCAGTACGCATGCGCTATTTATTTTTGTTGAAGTGAGTACCGTGAAGTATATAAAATAAATATTTATTTAAGGGCAGGGGAACAAACGGGGTTCTTAAAGAAATAATAAGTCCATAATAACTCAAATCTAATTTAAAGTGAGTAGGGTAGGGCGGGGCTAGTTGATCACTTTTTGGTTCGACCTTCCATAACTTTAAGACGATGTATCGGATTTAATCAAGTCATATACTGTTAGGTTCGTAATTTAGTCTTCTTCAAAAGGTCTAGCGACACAAAAACGATCCGAGTCCAAATTTTCAAGTTATTCCCGGAAATACGCGAGCGCTCCAAATTGCTCAACGTGCCCCACTATAGTGAGGCTAGTTGAGCATGGGTATGAGGCTAGTTGTGCAATGGCTAAAATAGACGGAATGACTGTATAGAATGATATGAAAGCAAAATAAAATTATAATTAACAAGCAAATATTTAATTTATTATAATTCTACATACGTATAATTATGATTATAATAATAATTATAAACATAACAATATTAATTATAATTATATTATATATTAATTAATATAATATCAATATATGAGTTATTTTAATTTTTACACATGATATTAAATCATCACATGTATAAATCAATTGATAATTATTAATTTAGTGAGGAAAAATTTCATTTTTCAATATTGAAAATCTAGTATTAGGGCTGGTTTAACACGCAGTCAGCGCTTTGCTCAATTAGCCCCAATTGAGGCAACAAAATAAAAGTTAGGTTATAAAAGAATGATAAGAATTAAAAATAAACAATCATATATAATCGAAAGGGCAAACATTAAGTCATCTTTGAATACTTTCGTGATCACGAAATAGCATTTTTAAGCGAGTGTAGGAGAAAAATTCTAAAGACCTGTTTTTTTTTTTTTTTTTATTTTGACGCAAAAAAAAAAGAAAACGTTTTGTCAGTTAGTCTAAACATCGGACGGCAATTGACTTTCGCGCGATGTGTTCTCCTCTCGTAACCCTTTCTTTTCACCATTTACACTTTTTGTTGTAAGTTGCTTAGTTTTCGAGATATTTCGATTGCACAACTTGCCCCTACGATCAACTAGCCCCGCCCTAATACCCTAATAGAAATTTTCGATTGCCGCCAAACAATTTTGTTTATTTATAATTTTTATTTAAAACAAGTAAGTCTTAAAGTAATTGTGAATTAATAATATTGTTAATTTATAAAATTAATTATTGAGAAGGATTTTGGTAGGGTTATAACTTATTAACAATAAGAGCATTAGGTTAAGACGCATTCACAGAGGGAAAGATTAGGTAGCTTTGACAACAAACAGCTTTGCCGGTGTTGCTATTTTAAGCCTGTCTTGTCTTCAGCTTTCTAGCTTTACTATTATCTTCACGTTATAAACACAATAAATTATAATCGCTAATTAAATGTAAATGTTCAGTAAAGAAGAAATTAATTGTCGGAAAATATAAAAAATTTACAAATTAATTAAAAAAAATATAAAATGAATTAATGTCCGATGAAGCGAATAAAAAACAATGTCATATTAAAAATAGAGCGATTTGAGTTAATTTATCAAAAAGGTTAATTTGAAGCCGATCGATTTATAAAATAATATTAATGATAGTAATTTACAATCTCGAAGTTTAACAGATTTAAATTCAAAATTAATGACTAACTTAAATAATAGATGATTGATGAAAAACTGTTGAAGCATAAAAAAACTGTGAAGTCTGGGTCTGTAAAACAGTAGCATGAGGTTTGAGGTTATCTATTTTTCAAGTCGATTCATCACGTTTTATCATTGGACTCATTATAACTTAAAGTAGTCCCCTGCTAATAAAGTGAAAGATCAATATTTCGTTTTAGCTTTTTTTTAGGTAGATTATAAGATAGGGCATAAAGCACTCAGCTGAATAATTCGCGTCTAAGAGCAGAATCAAGTGGAAAATTTATTATTTAATCGAGCTTTGTGAAGCTTGAGCTCACTAGCTTTATCCGGTTAGAGCATTTCTCGTACCACTGAGGTGGCAACGGAGATTGTCTTTACACCGGAGGGAGGAGAATCAGGCTCGCTGGTGAGGCAATCTCGATTCCACAGTAGAAGACACTATTCGTATTCACTCTCTCGATTGCTGTTGGGAAATCCGGGTGAATATTTGCACTCGATTACATTCTCACGTTTCACATACATAAGTTATGAATATTATTATCCGTCTATATATGTATATGTAAATATATATTCTTCTTATTATTATTATATATGTATATATATATATATATATATATATATAAAGTATATGAATAATCCTTACCACTACCGGGGATGTACAAATTTAGGGTTAGACAATCTTCGCTTTGATTTCCAAGATAAGATACTATTTTTTTCAGCGGCTCGTAGCGTGCTCCAGGCATTATGGTGAGGGCAATCGTGTAATTGGAAAGATTGGGTGGTTTTTGAGGACAAACTGGTCCAAATGTATCCGCAAGCTTTATTCCTGACCAAGGAATTGGCGGGGATGGAGGTCTTAGTCGTAGATTCCCAATTGGCGGAGCGGCGTAGGGAATCCCTCGAAATACTTCCACTGGATCCAATCGTCCGTTTAATTCCTTTAATGGGAAATTGATTAATTTAGTTTTGTATGTATTTAACCAATTTATTTGTGAGTGTGATCGGATGATCGTATCTCAGTAAATTTAAAGCTTTAAGTAAATATTTTTCTTTTTTATCCCAGAAATTAAAGTTTAAGATGAATGAACTTTTGTAAATACGGAAATTTATCGCTGGTGTCTTAACGAGGTGGATAAATTGTGAGAAAATTGTTTTTGAAATATTCAAATTTGTAAATAAAAAAAGAGGTTTTTTTTTAATCAAAAAATTTTATTTTGTTCAGAATAAGTAATTGTTATTTTCATAAATATTTTTTTAACTAAAAAAAACTTTTTTTTTCGACTTAAAAATTCCTTTCTGCACGTCAGTGCTAGCCTTTTCACAGGCTATCACTATAGCTCATTTTTGCTCATGATTATTTTGTGAATTTTTTTTTTTAAATAAATTTGTTCAGTTAACATTTATTACAGATCATGTGTTAAAAGTCCAACGTTTAATTATTAATTTCAAAAAAACCCTTTGCCAGATTTTTCTCAAAAAATTATTTTATATGTACACGGAAAAAAGTAAACTGTAATAAGTAACAGTTGATTTATAATAAGTAATGATCAACTGCTAAAAATTTCCATTTCAAACAGTAAAATCGTGATTTTACTATTCATTTTATAATATTTACCATTTAAACGTTACAATTTACTCTTTATCATGGAAGAAAATACTATTTCAAACAGTAATATTCGCTATGTATATGTCTAAAATGTTTAAGTATAATAATTAAGTATTCAGTCTTTGGTATTTATCATTTTGTACCTAAAAAATGATCTTATGATATGTAAAAAGTATAAAATAAAGTTAGTAAATTTATAATACAAGCAACGTCAATATTTACATATTGACTTGCTCGGGCTGGTAAAATGTATATTTTAAAAGTATAATTTTTACTGTTTGAAATGTTCAATTCTCCCAAAGTGAGACCCCCTTCTCTTTCATCTGAGTTCCCCTTCTCCTCATAATATGGATTATATATTGAAATGGCAATTTTTACTGTTTAAAACTGTAATTTTTTAAGATGAAAGAGTCGTTATTTATTATAGTGTCACCTACAAATCACTTATTTTGGATATTAAGTTATAAATTGTGGCTTTTATACTTTCTACATTAAGTTCTGTAATATTTATATTTTTGCCACCCCGATGTCCGCTTTACTGTTTGAAACTATAAAAATTAACCGGAATCCGAGTGAATATTAGAGTTTACTTTTTTCCGTGTATTTACTATTAATAAACAAAATATAAAAAATTCAGCTTTTCATCTCTATTTTGCCTTAATGTTCGAATGTCAATTTTAACTGATTAATAGTAATTGGTGAAAATGAAAATAAATAGCCATTCGATTCAAGTTTTACATATTCTGTATTTACATATTTACATATACTCAATTCGATCAGTAAAATGAAATGATTGTAAATAGTAAGCGAAAAAAAGAATATAAAATGCAACAGAATTTTGTTTGACATTTGATAAATTTACGTCAGGTAAACGATATTTGTTGAATATAATGATATTGATGTGTATTTTGTTGTATGATCGTTAGTGGTATTGTTTGATTGAAGTACGCTAGCGAGATACATTATTTGGTATGAAATAGATAAACAATGTAAACATAGGTAATTATTATTTTGATTGTCTTTGTGAATGATTTCATTTTCTATGGTCAAAACTGGTTGCGTATTATTAATATTCACATTTATTTACGCATTTGTCAATTAATTTATTTTCACATATGATACATATTGACACTGTATTTATGTTCGTAATTATTTTTGCGTAAAATTTCTAATGAGTGTTTAATATTTAAATAATAAAATTTAGCTTTCGTATGCCTACGCGATAAATTTTATGTTAATGATGCTTAAACGTAATTAATTTAATTATACGTTTTATAAATTTCGTGTTGGCGTTGTTTATTTTAGATCAAGTGATAATCATTGATAAATGAATTAAAAATAAACCTTTCGATAAAATAGAATAAAAAAAGCTAGATGTAAATGGATAAATAAAAATTGTTTTCTGTAGTTGTTGCGCACTGACCAAACGTGCGTTGACTATAAAATAGAGAATAATAATTCGCTCGCAGCAATCCCTCAGGACGCCCAAGGCGTTGTGAATTTATTCAAAAATCAGATGAGTACAAACGTGACTATAATTTTTTATTTCGTATTGTAGCAAGTGTATTCTGAGTGAAGGAAAATTGTAAAAATGAATTTATGGGAGATGGCAAATTGAAAATTTAAATTTATAGAAATGTTTCAGTATCATTCTGTCGTTGGATTGAATTTTAAGTAGTTTTATATCTAATAAATGGAATCAATTTTCAACTTTAATGAGTAATGTAATAACATAAGAAGTTTTACTGCTTAAAAAAAAGAAAAAAAAATTATAAAAAAATTTTTTAATAAAAATAAAACAACCTGCAGTCACTTTATGACTTTTCAAAATTACGAATTATAAATAAAAAATAACTTTAGTTTCATGAATTTACGATATTTTAACAATATTCATAGTTTTGGTACTTTTTAAATAAATTTATAAAATAATGTTGCTATGACAGGATTAAATAACAATAATTTAATGGAAAATGTCACTAAAAAAAGACTTATAGACCCAACAAACTCTTCAAGACTGTTCCATAAACGTAACATAAAAAATTGACTGTAAAAAAAATTATAAAATCACGAAAAGGCGAAATTTACTTCAAGACTTTTTTTGATGATATCAAATTTAATTATAAAAATCCTTTTTAATATAAAAAAATATTCCCGTTATACAATTTATATGACTTTCTTAAGGGGTTGGGGGTAGTCAGAGACGCGAAAAAATGAGAATTCTCAGTAATTTTTTTTTGCCATTAAATCATTTTATTTTACAAAAGTAATAAAATGGTATCATTACACAATATTTTGACTTGAAGTCACGAAAATTTGAAAAAAAAAAAAAAATTTATAATTTCCAAAGTTATAGCTGTTAGTGTTGACCCAGCAAAAAAAAAGTCCTTGTGGTGATCATCATAAGTCCTTGAAGATTCATCTAAAATCAATCGGACAGAAAAAATTAATTTTATAAATAGATAATCTTGTGCCTGATCGAAGGATTTTTTTTTTTTTGAAAAATTTCAATTTTGTATGAACAATTAATTGTTGATTTTTCCCGAAAATCTAGAAAAAAATTTCCTGAGGCTGCCATTTTGTTAATTTTTGAAAAAAAAAAGCTTCGATCAGGCACAAGATTATCTATTTATGAAACTAATTTTATCTGTCCGATTGATTTTAGATGAATTTTCAAGGACTTATGATGATCACCGTAAAGACCTTTTTTTTTGCTGGGTCAACACAAACAGCTATAACTTACGACATTATAAATTTTTTTTCTTCAAATTATCGTGACTCCAAGTCAAAACATTGTGTAATGATGCCATATTATTACTTTTGTAAAATAAAATAATTTAATGGCAAAAAAAATTACTGAAAAGTCTTATTTTTTCGCGTCTCTGACTACCCCTAACCCCTTAATTCACGTGTGACCAAATTTTTCCTATTCTATTATTAATTGTCGAAATTATTCTGAAACATCAAAAAATAAATACGCAGCAATAAATAAAAAATAATTAAAGAAAAAAAAAAATATACCTGCAGTATGCCTCTTATCTGGCCACTTCTGGTCTCGACGATGCGCGAAGCATACCTCGGGCCAGCGTGAGTGCCACAAATGGTAAACACGAGTATCACAACCAACCACCTTGTTGTCGTTGTTGTAATATGTACGAGGTCGAGTGTCCTTAGCATTGGTTCCAGCGGCCACGTCCAGGTCGCCGGCTGGCATCGTCCAAGCATGGCAGCATTTGTTGGCAACCACCACCGTCACCACCATGCCGCGCGCGCCACCCCGTGTATATAACGCACCACCACTGTCTGCAACTTTTTAAATTCTTTCTCACACTATTTTATCTTAAGTTGCTCTTTAATTCCTGTACTCGAACTCTCCAACCCTCAATCCTTAGTTTGTTGTCAGACGCTGAAATCTTTTTTATGGGGTGATTGTGCGTAAGCCCCTACTTTTATTGGCTCTTCGACAAATCATTCGATAAGTTTGTTACACGTGATATGCTAACGACATTTAGATGTTTTATTTGTTTTATCATCCACATTTCAGTATTTATGCCTGCCGTTTCCTTTAAATGCATCGATGCATTTATTCAGGAAGCTGATGTACTTTCGAGATATATTACTTCAATTCTGTGTCCTGGTTCCGTCGTTCGTCACTGAAACAAATAATAAATTTTATTGCTGTATAATTTGATTATTTATTTATTCATGTTCAAGTTTTGAATTTAACATTACATTATTCTCAGTACTCATAAAAATTGTTTCAATAAATTTGTTAAAATTCGAAAACTTTATACTTTTAAGTATTTGAAAGTCAAATTTTTGATGATGATTAAAAAAAATACCGAAATAAAATCAGTAGTCTGATGAAAAAATTAACTTGATTGAGGAGAAAAATTCTTTAACCAACAATATTATTTTAAAGAGTTTGATCATCGTCAATCAAGCAGAAAAATTTTTAGTAAATTTTATAAAAATCTAACTATTGCAGCCATCCTCATGGCGCAACTTTGAAAAAATTTAGTCGTTTTCTGATTCAGTTTGTCGAGCTGAGTCAGAAAATGTATATAGTTCAAAAGTTTATATATGTATGTATTTATATATACACGTTAGCACGATAGCGTTTTCAATTTATAACCGATTCTTCTCAAACTCAACATGCTTTATCTATCGATCAAGACCAAGGTTAAGTTCGAAGATGAGCTTAATCGGGCGAGTAATTTGGAAATGACAGGATTTTGAAATTTTGAAAATCGTAAAAATTGATGTTTTTACTATTTCAATTTATAATTACTGATCGAGACAAGATATCAAAATTCGGTAAAATGCATCGTAAAGCTCTTTTAATAAGCTTTAATTTCCACTACTCAGGAGTGGTAATAGCCTCAATATTACTCTTTTTAGAGTTCGTTTAATGAAACAGTTTTACTGTTGCAGCCGTTTTAGAATTATTGTCTGCATCATAGCTTAATCATGATGTAAATTCAATAATTACGATAATGATCAGTCTTTCGTGTAATGTTTTCGGGTAATTCGTCAGTATATATGTCACAAATTAGTCCTACATTTTGTTTTCTTCAATTAAAATTTTATCCGGTTTCAAACATCTGATTGATTTGGAAATTGTTGTTCCTAAGCAGTTATTTAAAATTTGGTCGTTTACAATTCAAATTTTATAATCTTTGCAATTCTTTGAAAAATATTTGAAAAACTTTTTCTTCAAAAGTTAATTTTTTTTCCAAAATTTGTTCTAAATAGTTTTAAATTTATTATTGAATTTTGTTTTTAATTCATGAATTAAGTTATACATTATTAGTGTTGTTATATTATTTTATTAAAAATTAATTTTCTTTACTTGAAAAATCTACTTCCATTTCGGCTGCCGAATGGCCTTTTTTTTATTTTACTTTATACAAAATTTACTTAAACAAAAAACAATTTTTTACATCATCTAAAATTTTTCTGCTTAATTTAAGATGATAGAATTTTTTAAAATGATGTTTTTGATTCAAGATTTTTTTCTCTCGAACCGGGTAAATTTTTTTATCGGTAACTTTGAAAATGCAGTAAATCATTCATTTTTAGTGTAAAAAAAAATTTTTTTTGATGCAAATAAATATTTTCAGTTATTTAAAAAAATTTGCTCTTTAATTTTTCTTGCGATGTGAGCAATTTTTTATCTTTTTATCTGAATAGTAAGTAAAGTAATTTATAATTAAGAAGATTATAAATTATAATATATTAATCAGTAAAGTTCAGGAAAGCAAACAAGACGTGATACCTTTTTGTTACTCTGGTTTGATATAGGCAAGTGACGTTATGTACGTGGTTAAATTATTCTGTGTTTGTGCATTATGTACACTTATATATACATATATATTGGTGAGGATCTGATGCAAAAAGTAAGACCAGCAAACCGGCGTTACTTTATTAATCGAGTAAAACCACGGTGCCGAGTTTACTGGCGCCTCCAGGGTTCCTGAGGACATCTATTGAATTGATAAACTCTAGAGATAGGAGTACGACACAAGCCGGAGACTATTCATTGCTTTTGCCAAGAATACAAGCTAAAAGAAAGATAGATTGGTAAATTTTGTAAAAAAAATTAATGAGAGTTGATATAAATTTTTTTTTTTATTTATTTTTTGTGTTTTTAAGCTCAAAGTTTTGAGTGGGTGTATATATACGTATACATTCATTATCGAGTGAACCAGACTTTTGTTAATGAGATACTTGTATTTATAATTTAATTAAAAATTAATATTCATTCGCTGTTTTTTGTCACTAAGTTAATTAATCCACGCGCAAACAAAAGAGTTGAACTAACAAAAAAGTTTTTTGTCGTATTGGAGTTTTAATATTGTTCTTTTCAGTTAAAATAGGATGATAAATAGAGTGATAATTTACTTTTATATAAATTACAATAATGCAATTTTCAAGGATGCGATTGTTTGAAAAATTTCAATTAGTTTTTATAATCGATATAATTTTCAAGTTTGTCAAATTGTTTTTTTTTTTTTATAAACAGATTACTTAATAGATAATGTTATGTTTGCTCCCTATTTAAAATAAAAAAATTTGATGCATAAATGAACCGAAAGAATATCGTTGATAAACTAATTAAAAAAAATGTTGTGCAGAGCTCTCTGTTTTATTCTTCAAAGACTATAGAATCACATACATGAATTTGATAAATTTATATATAGTGTTGAAATTCAAGTCATAATATGTGAATAATAAAAAATATATGAAATATGCACTCTAGCAGAAAGCTTTGATCTTATGGAAGATGTACTTATACTTATATGAGCTCTTAAAGACTCTGTCATACTCGAGATTTTTTATGGTACTCGTGTTCTCTGAGATGAAAAAACGACAAGATTACTTTTTTATCTTCTATTATAACTGTCAAGATGTGTTCATCTGTAAAACATCTAAATGTCATTTGACACATTTAATTTCACTCTGTCAACTTTGTTTTTGTTATCAAGTTGAAATTTTATAATGATTTTATTTTTGAAGAATTATTAATATGCTTCGTAAGTGTACAAGTAAAATTGATGGGTAAATTCTTTCAAGTTTTTTTTTTCTTTAACAAATAATTTTTCAGTTTACTTAAAAATTATTTTTTTGCCTTATCTGTATATTATTATAATTCTTATTGTACCGGAAATTTTTTTTACCGTCAAAGTTGATCAATGTCTCCTTAATTAAAAATCTTGTTCAACATAATATCTTAATTCGATAAAGTTAATTAAAAATTTTTAAGCATGTGCAAATATTGTTCATTAGCATACAAAGTATATTTAACATCAATAAAATAATTAATAAGTTATTAATAATTATTTTATTAATAGTTATTGCAGAAATTTAATTTTCCTTAACAAATTTTTAATTATAGAAAATTCAAGTTCTAATGTGATTTGAATATGATATTTATTAAATGAGTTTCAATGATTTATTTTATAGAACACAAAGAGACTTGCGTGTTGAAAGAGACAATGATTTTTTATCATCGTTTATTCTTATCTTTGACATAAATATAGAGTAAACTAACTATTTTGTTTGCATTCTAAAGTCAAAGAGTATTATTTAATATGTCATTGTGATTATCATATTATGAAAGCGAAAACGAAATAAACTTATAGGTGTGCAAGTATTTCTAAAAGCAATGGCGAAAATTCAAAGCTCTAGCTTGAGATCGAGCGAAAAGGATGGGTATAAAGTATGTTATACGACGCAAAAGGTAGAATTTCATCGCAATCTACGTGCTTATCGTTCTTGCATTAGATTTAAGTCAGAATGTCTAACATGTCTCCCTTGTGCAGTGCATTATATAAATACTTGGTCAAATATTATCATTATCTATATTAATAAAATAATTACATAAAATCATTAAAAACTTGAAAAAATTCCAATTTTCACGTCAAAATAGTTTCAATTAGATGAACAAATAAAATATTTCAGAATAGTTTGTTTATCAAATGCCAATATAAATTGTAATTTTTAAAGAATCTTTAAATTCAATATTAAAATTTTAACAGTAAACATCAATTCTTGACTAAAGAAAAAAATTTTATTGACTCAAAAGAATATTTATGAAGACAATAATTATTTTGAGCGAAGAAAAATTTTAAACTTTAAGCAAAATTTTACTTGGGTCAAAACTATTTTGGTTTTCATGATTTATTTTTTTGATTTAAGAAAACCTTTTCAGTAGACTTCATAGAAATTAATTGCATTTATCCTCATCACAAAACTTTTGAAAATTTTGCTTTTTCTGACTTAGCTTGTCAAGCTGATTCAAAAAATGCATAGGGTTCAATAGTTTATGAATATATATGTATAATCCCGTGTAAAAAAAAATCGTCTTAAAATTGTCTTAAAATTGTCGTTCGTTTAAGATCTTAAACGTGATACAAACTAAGACTATTTTAAGACTCTTTTAAGACGCCAAAAGGAAAATTCCGAGAGCAGATTTTTGAAAATTTTGTTCTCGAATTTGTTGTGAAAATTAATTTTTAGATGATTTTACGACTTTCTAACCGCAATTTTTTTGAGTAAGATGTTTTTAAATTGAATTTAAAATTGTTAAACAATTATTATCTGACAATTTTAAGACTTTTTTAAGACGTTCTGTTTTAATGTTCCGGGGCTCTGTCGCTGTTAATCCATCTTAAAATAGTCTAAATTTTTTTTTAAGACTAATTTAAGACAGTTTAAAGACGCTCCATAATAATTTTCCAGAGCTGTCACTGTGATGTTATCTGAAAATAGCTTAAAAATTTTTTAATATTTTTTTTTTTAGATTTCTTTAAGACTATTTTAAGATTTTTCAAGACTATATAACAATTATTTTAAAACTTAAATCTTAAATTAGTCTTAAAAAAATCTTAAAAAAAAATTTAGACTATTTTAAGATGGGTTAACAGCGACAGAGCCCCGGAACATTAAAACAGAACGTCTTAAAAGTCTTAAAATTGTCAGATAATAATTTTTTAACAATTTTAAATTAAATTTAAAAACATTTTACTCAAAAATATTGCCGTTAGAAAGTCGTAAAATCGTTTAAAAATTAATTTTCACAACAAATTCGAGAACAAAATTTTCAAAAATCTGCTCTCGGAATTTTTTTTTTGGCGTCTTAAAAGAGTCTTAAAATAGTCTTAGTTTGTGTCACGTTTAAGATCTTAAACGAACGATAATTTTAAGACAATTTTAAGACGATTTTTTTTACACGGGATATAACGCGAATTATCATGATCCTAATGATATTTTGCATACTTATTGTTTGGAAAGTTATCAAGATAAAGTTCAATTAAAGATAAGTTTAATCGGCCAATTACTTTAGAAGTTAGAGAAATTCAAAATTTTTGAAAATTATTGCCAAAAATCGCATTTCAGTGGGTTCATTTTGAACCAACCTTTTGAATGCGATAACTTATAGCGAATTTTTGTAAATTGTATTTGAAAGCTCATGAAATATGTTTCATGAGTTTATACCTACATATGTATGTCTATTTGATGAAATTATACTATTGCATTCGTTTTTACGATCCTGCAAGATTTCAATAACTTTGAAAAATCTACTTTCATTTCGGCTGTCAAATGACCTGTTTTTTGTGTAGAAGAATATTTTTATAATTTTGATGGAAATTGTCCATATTGGATTTATTATAAATATTATTGTTCAATTCTGTAAAATATTTGTTGAAGCTTGTATATAAAATAACATTTATATTCAGCTTTTTATAAAAGTCTTTTTTATGCTTTCATAAATTTTATAACTTGCAAAGTAAGATCAAATGATTTTTATAAGACAGCAAGCATCTCAATATCATAGTATTTATATTGAAAGAATTATTTATTTATGAGAAGACATTACGTTCTGTTTTATAAATAGGACTCTCAGAACATTTGAGAAGAATTCAACCGATAAAATTCTTATTTTTAATCATAATTCAGCTTTTGAAAACTGAAAATTTTATCACTAATGTAATACTTGATGGTAATGGATAGATGAAAGTAAGATTCTAAACGAATCGTATTTCGTCTCTTGATTTCTTTAAATTGATGTCAAGACTACTGTTACTGTTACTCGTGTTAGAGATGTTGAGGGTCAAACGAAACGAGATAATTCAAGACCGATAGTGCATCAACAAACTCAAGATGAATCTGACAGAACTAAAGTAAAGTCTGAAACTGTTACAGAGAGCAGAGGCGAAGCACATTTGTCCCAGGGGCAGAAACTGATCGTTTCCATCTCTCTAATTCGTATTAGTGTGAAACTTAGTTTGTTTTCAATAGTTAAACAGGTTGTTAAAGCGCTGTGAAAACGGGTGTTTATAAGTTTATTTCTTGTTACCACAATTTTACTTGTTAATTTTAATGAATAGAAATGATTATTTTAGAACACAGAAAAAAAATGTTCTTGAACCAAGTTTATAATTTTGAAGAACTTAATTAAGGGGGCTACTGTGAAATTTCAAAAAAAATTTTTTTTTTTTTATTAAATCCCAGTTTATAGATTCAAAAATATGTATGTAGAGTTTGGTATCAAAATTCAGAATATTTTCCGAGTTATAGTCATTTTTGTGACAGCGCGTCAAATGACTTTACACGCGCGGCACTCCGACGAAAATGCGTTTTTCTCGAAACTACTTTTTTTGAACTGATGAGAATTGTAATTCGCATAAATATGAACCGAATTGCAACTTTTTTTTTTTCCCCCGTATTCGTCTATTCAGTAGCTATAGTTACACGTAGGGGATTTATAAAATTTTGATTTTTAAGATTTTTTAGGGCTGTTTGAATCCAAAAAAATGAGGAAAAAAAACGAAAAAATTTTTAATATATCGCCATTTTTTTTTAAATTAAAATTTTCAAAATCGTGCTACGATAACCACACGCATGTAGATTACAACGCTCTTTCATTTTTTCGTTTTAATAATAACTTTGTAACAACATGATATTTTTGGATAAAAATTTAGGAAAATAATCTGCAATGTACACTTTATAAAACAAAAAAAACCCGATCCCCAAATTCCTTTATTATCCTAGTCAAAAAAAAAATCCCGAAAATCACCTATTTTTTCGATCCTCACAGTGGCAATCCCCCTTAATATTCTTGATTTGAGTAGAAAAATCTAAATTTAAGGAAGTTTTTCTCGATTTAAAGAAATTTTACTTGATTCAAGAATTTTTCGTCTTGATTTAAGACAATTACCCTCATCAAAATTATATTCTTGGTTCAAGAATTTTTATCTTGAATCAAGTTAATTTTTTTTTCAGTGAAGTAATTAAGAATTTTACTCCTTAAAAGAATGAAAATTCATTGAAAGGTGTGAAAAAATTTAAAGCTTGCAATATTATTCCGAAAATATCCTGTAAAAATTTAATAGAAGATAATGAATATTATTAATAGAAAAACGTCAACATAAGTATTCAAAAAAACTTATGATATTTTCTTGAACTGAAATTAAACGATGTTTTATCCTCGATTAAAAAGAATTAAACTAATTTAAAAGTGCTTCCGACTGATTACTTTTTAATTGTATTAAATCCTTTAAATGCTCGTTCTTATACGAGTTCAACATTATAAATCGTTTTAAATCCGTCTTTAAAATTAAGATTTTCATTTCTCTAAAAGACTCATTTTCGTTCGTTAAACCATATAACATAAAAAGATTTTTTTTCTTCTTATTTAATTGAAGAAACTTTTAAAAATGTAATGATAAATTGTGTTTATACAAAACAATATATTTATCTACATATATATAAATAATTTCAAGCAAATATTTCCGTACTTTTAATGAAACTGATTGATTACCTTACCTTAATATTAAGTAAAATGAGCCGTTATTAAGAAAATTTCGCTGAAGATAATTAATTTAAGTAAAGAATTTTCCTTTATTTTAAATTAAATTTCTTTTTAATTTTATTTTCTCGTATTTAATCAGATAATTGCTCTGTTGAAGTTACAATTGTAATTACTTTACGGGCCGTAAGGTAAATTGTGGTAATATTCTTGTGTTGCACAGAATTTACGCCTTGTAGAAGAAAATGATTTCCTGCAATTTTCATTAATACTCGATACAATTTTAAAATTAAGTTAAAATAAATTTTTCCCGTTTACGCTTGCGAGCAAATTCATCTTTTCTTTTTAAACTTTTTTGTATTGATTTTGAACTACAGCTGCAGTTGTCTTTAATAGTCGCATAAAAAATCTTGCAAAAAAAATTGACTAAAAATCAATGTAAAAAATAATTTTGATCTTGATTAAATTAAATATTATAATTAACCGTAAGTAATTGTATTATTCAAAAAAGGACAAAAAAAGTTATAAAAATTATACGCAGGCGTGGTAGTTTGCGTTATGCGCGGACATATCACTGCGAACGCATGCGCCGTCTACCGCCCAGTTTAATCGACACGACAGTAGCCGACAGCATTCGTATAGTCTGATACTCCATCCACCGTGGCATTTCACTTCTTTGTACATTATATACACATAAACCTTTTTTTTTTTTTAACAAATTTTGGATATTTATTCATCATACAGGTGATTAATTGTTTGTGAAATTTATTTTTGGTTAATCAACATTATCATATCATTGTTAGAATATTATTGTGCGCTGAAATTTATTATTTCATAAGTTTAATTTAAAAATCGTTAACTATGTTTATCTGTCAAACTAACCTAACCTATTGATGACTTATCACAGTTTTTTACTTAATCAAGTGATAATCTTCGAATTATTTTACTAAATATGTAAGCTTATTATTATTTAACCCATACTGAAAAAAAATTTATTTTTTTCGACAAACTGAGTATTAATCTTTTAAATATTTTTGTGTTTACTAAAACAATTGACGTATTGTAATTAAACACTAAATAAAAAATTATACTTGTTTTTAAAATTTTTTGCAATTGCCTATTTTTTATAATTTATTGGCTGATAAATATTAAATAATTTTTTTCTTTTTTTTTTTTAATGTAATTTTTGTCTGTTGAGCCCATAAAACAATGTTTTAATTTTAAATAAACAAACTAGAAATATTGAAATTTTCTAGACAATTACTGTTCTTATAATTTTATAAATTTAATTGAAATTTTACTTTTGTTATTTCGTATATTAAATTATAAATTTTGTCTGAATATATGATGTTTAAAGGTACAAAATAAAAAATCATTTATCAAAACTTTTGGTTAATTTTTATGATAATAATACAAAAGTTAGCCGACGTTTTTAATTTTTTGATTTTTCTTAATTAAATTAGAACAAAAAAATATTTTTTAAAAATTGCACTTACAGTTTTTCAAGTTTTTTAAAAGTGACATTTTTTAAAAATTTTTTTAATAAAAAAAAATTTTTTTAATTTTCAGATGTCGGCTAACTTAATTTTCATTTTATGATACTAAAATTAGCTGACGTTTAACAATTTTTGATTTTTTTCATCAACAAGTGAAAAAACACTTGAAAAAAATTGCACGTATAATTTTTCAAATTTTCTACATGTAAATTTTTTTTTTTAAATTGCTTTGCAATAATATTTTCAATAAAAAAATTAATAACAATTTTAAGATGTCGGCAAATTGAATTTCAATTAACTTTTAAGTAAATATTCTTTAATAATGTTGAATTATAAAATAGAAAAAATTTTTGGACATCAGCCTTATCTTTAACCCCTGACAAGCACACTGGGCAAAAAGTACCCACCCCAAAATTTTATTTCGTTATAATTCTTTGTGTATATTTAAACTTCGATAGTATTTTTATATATTTTAATTGTCACTTTTTGATTTAATATTATATCTATTTTATAGAGAATTTTTTGAGTTTTGATGTTAAAAAAAAAAAAATTCTCTAACTTAATTAGGGACCAAGATATTTGAAAATGAAATATGTTGGGTACTTTTCACCCTCAATGCCTAAAGAGGTATACGGTTTAGATGTGTGCTTGTCAGGGGTTAAAATAAGTATTAAAATGATTAAATATTAAATATTCAATTTGATTTCAGATAATCATCCAAAATGTCGACGTCGGCAATATACATTTTGGATGTAAAAGGAAAAGTTTTGATATCCCGCAACTACCGCGGTGACATCGAAAATGGTATTATTGACAAATTCATGCCGCTGGTGATGGAACGAGAGGAAGAGGGTAATTTAACACCATTACTCCAAACACCCGAGTGTACATACGCATACATTAAATATAATAATTTGTACATTGTATCGACGACTAAAAAAAATGCCAATATATCTTTGGTATTTGTATTTCTTCACAAAGTTGTCCAGGTGATGCAGGAATACTTCAAAGAGCTTGAAGAGGAGAGCATACGTGATAATTTTGTTGTTATTTATGAGCTCCTGGATGAATTGCTTGATTTTGGTTACCCGCAGACAACTGACAGTAAAATATTGCAAGAGTACATAACGCAGGAGGGACACAAACTCGAAATCCAACCGCGTATACCGATGGCTGTTACCAACGCGGTGTCATGGCGGTCAGAGGGCATTAAGTATCGGAAAAATGAAGTATTTCTTGACGTTATTGAGTCGGTTAATTTATTAGCGAATGCAAACGGCAATGTGCTGAGTTCAGAGATAGTTGGTGCTATTAAAATGCGGGTTTATCTGTCGGGTATGCCAGAACTTCGTCTTGGTTTGAACGACAAAGTACTGTTTGAATCGACTGGTCGTGGTAAGTCGAAGAGTGTTGAATTAGAAGACGTTAAATTTCATCAGTGCGTAAGATTGTCGCGTTTTGAAAATGATCGGACAATATCATTCATACCGCCAGACGGTGAATTTGAATTAATGTCATACCGTTTAAATACACACGTTAAACCACTGATATGGATTGAATCGGTTATTGAAAGACATGTTCACAGTCGTGTTGAATATATGATTAAAGCTAGATCCCAATTTAAACGCAGGTCTACAGCTAATAATGTTGAAATAGTTATACCGGTACCGAACGATGCTGACTCGCCTAAATTTAAAACAACTATTGGCAGTGTTAAATATTCCCCAGAGCAAAATGCTATTACATGGTCTATTAAATCATTTCCTGGTGGTAAAGAATATTTGATGCGTGCACATTTTGGTTTGCCGTCGGTTGTTGGTGAAGATGTTGAGGGTAAACCGCCTATTCAAGTTAAATTTGAAATACCCTATTTTACAACATCCGGTATACAAGTACGTTATTTAAAAATAATTGAAAAAAGTGGATACCAAGCGTTACCCTGGGTACGTTATATTACGCAAAATGGTGATTATCAATTGAGAACAAATTAATTTATTCATTTTATTTTCTAAATCACTATTTTTAATTATAAGATCATTCAGCAGATGACAAGACTAGAGAAACTCGTTAAAAATTTTCCAATTTAAATATACTTGGTTAAAAAAAAATTAATAAATAAATAACCTGATAAAATTAATATTTTAATGTAAAATATAAAATATTAAATAGGTTTGTTTTGTTTTAGTCAGAAATTTTTTCACGAGGCTATTGTTGAAGTAGTTATGTTGTTATGTGACCACAATAGGCAGCCAATTTAAAATTTAAAAGACACAGACAAGTTATTTTGTTAAAATATTATTTTGAAAATTGTAATCATGTTTATTTTTCTGTTTTAATAATAGTATTAATTTTAAGAAAATAAAAATTTTATCATTATTGAAATTTAATGTATTGATCAATAGTATTTGCTGGTATATAATAAACATTAACCGGTACTTAATAAAACCAATGTGATTTTATAAAAAATTCATTTGTGTTCTATAATTTGTTTTTTTTTTTATTATTACTGTCAATAATGCGTATATTTTTTTTAAATTATATTTCCTAAGTAATTGTATACTGTATAATGTAGAAAACGAATATACATAATAAATTTTTAAATGAATACTAAATTTATGCCGTTTCAATTTTTTTAGACTTAAAAATACTCATATTATTAATTGACTTTTTTCTTTTAGAAATTTCTAAAGTTGTTGATATTTAGAGCCGATAACGCAGCCTTGAGCACATGAGCTGATAACAGAAGGTATTTCTCTTCAAGTATGAAGCTCGTAGTTCACGACAATTGATCGGCTTGGTATAGATAAATACTTTTTCACAACTGATTTCACAAATTATAACTTCGAGTTATTGGAAATTATAGTAAAAAGAAATATCGGGAATCATATATTTAAAACAATTTTTTTTTTACTGCTGCAATCAATGCAAAGGTCAGCAAACTTGTTTATTCAGATTCGATTTATTTTCAACGGTCTCGGTGCGACGATTCGTAGCTGAAATATCGGTCGGGAGATAAAAAATGACAGTTTTGTCTATGACCATCGACAAATCTCATGAATTGATAATTGCGAAGCAAACGTCAAAGAGTGGTTTTACAAACTTCAATTATTCCTCTATAAGTATCGACTGTTGATATTTTTCAGAAAAAACGCTAGCTAATTCTAATATAAAATGATATAGATTTACACAAAATTTATATTAACTATTTCATGTCGCGATATAGGTGCGGTGCCATAAGTATGTGTAAAAAATGAGAACATAATTACGTTGATTCTGAAAAAAATTTTTTTTTTTATACGCCCTTATGACTTTTCAGCACTATATTTTGTAGGTATACGCCTTTACGCTACCTGAAACGCGATATTATATGTAACACTGGTATGAGATTTATAATTTTTCAACGAGTTTTTTTTTTTTTCATTAACTATAATAGAATTTTTTGGTGATTTTTTTGGGCGCTGTAACAAAATAACCGCGAAAAATGATCCCGACAAAATAACCATGACGAAATAACCGCAGACAAACTACTCTAACGACTAAATAACCGTGAACAAAATAATCTCATTATTATCAAAAACATTGAAAAAAATTAATAACAAATTAACACAAAAATTCGGTATTTTTTTATTAAACAGATTTTATGTGTGCTTATTTAATTTTTATCCCGGAAATATATTTTCTAAGTCCACTTTTTCCGGTCTATTTTTTACAAAGGTATTTTTTCCGACATCCTGAAAAATAACTGATAAGATTTTTCCAAAGAAATTTTGTCGTTCGGTTATTTTGTCTCCGGTTATAGAGTCGCGGCACCGACTTTTTTGGACTTATAAATGATCTCAGAAACAATCTAATATAATGTAAATATATTATTGTGAATAAAAAAAAATTGTATCTGAAACTTAAAAACTCTTCGAGTTACAACGTTAAGTAAGAACTTTTTTGTATCAAATTGAATAGCCAAGAGTCTTTGTTTCAAACGTTTATTTCTCAATTCTACAGTTTTCCCACAAAGTTAATTTCGAAATGAATTCACTATTTTGTTTTATTCTATTTTTTACCTTTCTCATGATATTCTATAAAATAAAATCTTTTGTTTTTAATAGCGCAATATAAACGTTTAGAACTTTAGTATAAATAATGGAACCTTTCAGCGAAAACATTTAATCATTTTCATCCTTTAAAAGTATGATGGAAATAATTATTTAGAGAACATTTTTTACCATAACTAAATATAATGTAGTATTCTACACAGGCTTTTTACCATTAAAAGAGCGATTGATAGTTCGTTTTCAAACGTGTTTTGCTCACGTATAAGATGAAATTTCTAAAAAAACGCTTCGCTTTTCGATAGATAATTAAATTATCTACAGAAGAGCGAAGTACTTTTTTAAAAATTTGCTTTTATTTATGCATAAAATGCGTTTTAAGATTCCATTTCTTGTACAAGTATGACAGAGATACTTTCGTTTGTCCAATAGAGGGCGAGAGAGAAAAGAAAATGTAAACCCTTCTTAAATGAAGAACATTCAAATATAATACGACTGAAGAGACAAAGCAATTAAAGCGATACCGTAAAAGAGTCTAATTATATGTTTAATGTTGAAGCGGAAAATTCATACAGGTTAAATATTTAAGGTGGTTACGGTTATTAACATGGCTTGATAATTTCAAGAGAACTTTAAAGGTTCTCATGAAAGAAGATAAATAAAACATTTTTTTTTCTACTGATTAAACATGTGAAAAACTGTTGACTCAACATACTATCTATTAGGTTTTCCGCATTGAAAAAATTAACTTGACACCAGAGAAAAATTCTTGATCCCTCAAATCGTTTTGAAGAAGTTAAATATATTCAACCAAATAGGTAAGGATATTTTTTAACCAAAAATTGTTTTCATCAGTTCAAGAACTTGATTATTAAAAAAATTTGACTTTTTTCGGTTAGCTGATGAAATATTGTAAGTAAAACATTCTTGTGTTTTATCAGATGTTTATTGTGACAACCGATTATCACTGACAAAAATAATATTACCATTTTCAGATCCTAAGACCAAAAAACAACACGGGACGTTGTATGGATTAACTACAGTCTGTTTTACAAGGGATTATTATTATGAAAAAGAAAAGAGGCTTATAAATTGAGGACGATACAAAAACAATGGATTTTTATGGAAGTTCGTGATGTTTAAAAATTTTTTGATCTGAACGATCGGAATATTGAATTGTAGTAAAATTTTTAACTTCTCGCTAAGAAAATCGAAGATCTTCGAAAAATCGGGAAGTTATTGGTTTTACCCCGTTTTTCAAAAATCGAGGTTTCAACAGATCTCGACGTTTAGAAGTCCTAAGAAGCTTTCCTGACTATTTTTGTGTGTGTGTGTAAACCTTTTATAACTTCTGAACGGCTTGACCGATTTGATCGCAGTTGGTGTCATTCGAAAGATCTTCGCCAAACTTAGATTTTCTGTAAGTTGGAACCGATTTGGACCAGTAGATTTTGAGAAATTGCAAAAAAAAGTGAAAAAAAAAAGTTGTTTTTTTTTGTCATTTTTTTTAAATATCTCCGAATTGACTGAACCGATCGACCTCAAAAATTAATCAGCTCTTAACTTTGAAAACTCGCATCGATCGCCACCAACCGCGTGCAAATCGGTTGATGGATTCGAAAGTTATCGCAGTTTGGAAATTAAAAAAATCGTGTTTTATCGAACTTTGATAAGATTTTTAAGCTCGAAGAGCTCAAAAATGTCATAAGTGCAATTTTAAGCACCTAGGTATGGAATTAGCGGGAAGTTGCAGGGATGGCCTACAGGGTCAACCATTTTCCTAATTTTTTATTATGTTTCTAATAGTAAAATCTTTAGTTGAGAGCTTTTCAAAATTTACGTATTCTCTGTTAAAGGCGTTATGCTTATAATGATAAATATTTTTCACAAATTCAGTTCTCAAGTATAAATTATTATTGATTTTAGATTTTTCTATTAAAATTCAATCAATTAAGCATTAAAATTTATATTTAATGTCTAATTCCATAATGGTTTATGTTCAAAAGATAATCTTTTTCAAAAAAGACGTCTTAGCTTTGTATTTTACCGAATCTATAAACTCAACAAAGAGCTACTTTTTTTTGCTCCAGTTTGGCAGCTGTCCAATTAAAACAGATATCATCCACAAGCTTTTGTTGTTCACAAATGAGATGTTTTTCTTTTTTTTTTTTTTAATTTTTTTATTTTTCTAATTACTCGAGAAAACGTACGCTAATATTCACACATTGTAATTTTTCAGCTTTTATGTACTTTTTTCAAAGCTACAAAGATATATGCAAACAAAAAATAACAAATTATGTAGCATTGAAAAATTATTAGACTTTTTTTTTTTTTAATTTTAATTACGAACTTTAAGATGTACTATTTAACAAAAACTTCTTTTATTTCGTAAGACTTTATCTATTTACAGTAAAGGCTTTTAATATAGGATAGATGAAAGTATAATGCCTTCATCTTTTCATTATTTAAATTTTGATCCATTTTATTCGAATCGATATTAGGATATTGATTTGTAATTAGCAATATTCTCTTGTAATTAGCATTACACTATTACAAGATCTATTGGTTAAATTTAGACTTCGAGAGAGGACATACTTCACTAAACATTCATTTTCGCACCAATTCCTGCCTATACAACGAAAATTCCAGTTTTGATTCATCAAAGTGCACATTTTCAATAAAGAAAAAATGTGAGAAGAAAGAGAATCAGGTCACTGAAAATAAATATTGAGCTATATTTTTTAGCATTAAAAAAGTAATTATTAAAATTGGATTAGGAACTTAGTGATTTTAGAATAGTTTTCTTGATAAATAAATATATTTCAGAATTAATTGGAATTGAGTTGTATTTATAGTAGATTTTATTTTTATTTCGTTGTAAAAGTTAATTCAGTGGAGTATAGTAAAGTACAGTAGAGAAAAGCTAAGTTGAGTAAAATTGTCCT